CGAGAGAAAGGAAGAAGAAGAAAAAAAATTTAACGAATCGTACGAAAAAAAAAAAAATTTACTTATTAATAAATAAATTTTTTTTTTTGTAATTTTCGTGGTAGGAGAACAACAAAACAAAAATTGTTATTTCCACGTTGGGGTGGTTAGTGGGAAGTAAAGATTTTGATTATTAACTAGTGTCTTGTCTTGTTTTTTTTTTTTTAATTTAACTGACGGCAAAAATTTTTTTTTTCTTTTTGTTTGTTTGAATGAAGTAGTTAACTATTCAAAAATACGATTCGTGACAGATTTATGTATCCATAGAATTTATTTATTTATTTATTAATTATTTTTATTTTTATTGATCGAATAAATAAATAAATAAGTGTACATCCGGTGTGTGTGTGTGTGTGTGTGTGCGTGTGTGTATTGTTTTTTAATTCTATGAACTTATTTAAATGAACGTGAATTCATTTTTTTTTTTTTTTTGAATTTTTCTTAAAGCTAAATAAATTAACATAAAAAAAAAGAAAGAAAGGTTCCGTTTGTTTGTTTGTTTGTTTGTTTGCTTGTTCGTTGTATTCGTAATAAAGAGAAAGAAAGAAAATGGAAAGAAAACAAGTTGAAAAATAAGATAAAACGTACGGAAGATAAAGAAAAATTCAAATCTGTTATAGATAGAAAAGGAAAAAAAGAAAAAGTCAAAGGTCAAAGGAAAAAATGAAAGTTGGCATTTTTGAGGAAGGGAGGGAGGGGTGAGAGGGCGGGAAAAGGAGGAGGAGGAAGAGGGGGTAAAAAACGATGCGGTGGTGGTCGAGTAAAGGTAAAGGGATGCTGCCGCGGTGCTGATGCTGATGCTGCTACCACCACCACCACCGCCATCGCCATCGCCACCACCACCACCGCCGCTCCTTAATTATTATTTTGTCATATTTATGGGGGATGAAGGAGGGTAAAAATTTTGAAATATTTAAATTGTTCTTGGTTGAAAGATTGTTTTATACACGTGAGAATGAAATACGAATTAAAACGAGTTTTAAAACTGTCCAAACGAGCAAAACTTTTAAATATATAATTAATGCTTCCACACACACACGCACACGCACACACGCACATTCACACATACGCGGACATACAACTCCATCACCCCCACCACCGCCATTCCTCTTAACCCCCATAAAATTCTTTTATTTTTTTTTAAAAATTTCCATTCGTCCAATTATATTATTGATTTCTTTAACTTAAATTTTTTTTTAATTAATTTAATAATAATAATAATAATGATAATAATATAAATAAAAATAAGAAACGCGCCCTCAAACCATAATTTCATATGCCATTTTTGACTTTTAAATTTATGTATATACGTAATAATAATGATAATAATAAATAAAATAAATGGCGAAGGTTTTGTAAACTTGTACAATTTTTTTTTTTTTTTAAATTTTGTGACGTTGTGTTGTTGTTGTTGGGCCCACGTCTTTCGCCTTTTTTTTTTTTAATTAAAAAAATTAGTTAGTTGAATAATTTTAGTTAAAGAAAAGTTTCAGTCACATATTTTTGAACGGGATAAAAACAACAAAAAAATTTTTTTTGTTTAAACAATAAATAAATAAAAAAAGGTAAAAAAATTTGATATAAACGATAATATTCTCCCTCTCTCTCTCTCTCTCTCTCATTATTTATTATTTTTTTTTTTTTTTTTAATTTCAATCCGTTGTTTGTTTGAACGTTACGTTAAATATATATATTTTTTACATATATACATATAATAATATCTTGAAGAAATTTCTAGAAAATCTGTAGAGAGGATCGAATCAAAAAGAGAAAAATAAAAATTTTTCAACTGAGTTTTTGGTAAAACTCACCCCAAACCTGTCACGATAAATCAATCTGACCTCTCTTTCCTCATAATCAAATGAATTACGGCTAAGGTCCAAATGAGTAAGGGATGATTTTCTTTCTCTCTCTCTCTCACTCACTCACTCTCTCTCCTTTTTTTTTTTTTTTAATATTACGCTCGTGCTTAACTTAACCGTTATTTCTTTGTTGGATATGGAGGTTAAGGCTCCAAAGAAATAAAGAAAAAAAAAAAAAAGATTCATGTTTTATGACTCATTCGAATGAATACAATAATCCCGCTTATATTTTTACTGTGCGTGTGTGTGCGTACGCACACGCACACACGCACACACACACATATATACAAAAATATATATATATACCGCGTGTGTGTGTGTGTGCGTATATATATATATATATATTAGACTGGAAAAAGTTTAAATAGATTTACAAGATAAATTTTAATTCGACTTTAACTTAGGGACTCTTCGTCCTTCTTTTTTAAATGGTTAAACATTTTATCATTATCATTATTATTTATTGTTTATATCTTTTAATTTAATGTCGTTTTTTTTTTTTTTTTGTTTTGTTTTCGTTTTTTTTTTGCTTCTGCTTGTTTTCATTTTTATTTATTTTTTATTACGTTCGCTTTTAAATTTTCGTCTTTTGTAAATTTATTATTATTATTATTATTATTATTATTATTATTATTATTATTATTATTATTATTATTATTATTATTATCGCTTCCTTTTTTTTTTTTAAATTTTAATTAAAAATAAATATTTTCAAAATTTTTTTTTGTTTTTTTTTTTTTTTACCTTCTGTTTTTTTAAATTTTTATTTTTTAATACGTTTATATTTAAAAAAAAAAAAAAAAAAACGCTTTTCAGCTTCCGGTTAATAATAATAATAATGATGATAATGATAATAATTAAAATCGTGACGTATTTCGCGGTTTTTTTTTTTTAAATTTGAAAAGTCAAAAGTTTTGTTGTTGTTTTTTAAAGAGCGCCTTAAAATTTTTGGTATAGATTTTTAGCAATACGTTTAATCAATGCAATTTGCGAGTTTTGAAATATTAGGGGAAACCCCCGTTTTTAATAAGTTTTGTGTATGACACTTTATTTCTTGTTGGTGGTTGTTTTCAATATTGAAAAGTTTGTTTGTCATTAAAATAAAAAAAAAAAATGATAAAATTATAAAACATTTAAAATATTTAAAAAAAAGAAACGAAAAAAAAAAAAAGAAAAGAAAAGAAAAGAAGAAGAAATTATATATATATATATATATATATATATATATATATATATATATATATATATATATATA